AAATCAATCACATTTACCCAGCGCTATCAGATGCTGATGCTTTGCACTGGCCGCGAGCTTTGTTAACAAGCCTTGTTTTATGAGGTAAGTTGTTGTGCTCCCCCACCCCTTCTCCTCCCCTCCCCGCGTCCCGCCGCCTCGCACCGGATTCATTACTTTGGATTCTAATTTATGCTTCCTTTTATCTATCAAGGCCAGCCGAGCAGCCGGCCAGCAGCGGGGCGGTTTGGGGCAGTCGGAACCCTTGCGGTCGGCCTGTCCATTGCACGCCGAAGCTCGCAGCGCACAGTGGGCCAGAGGACCGGTGGAGGCGGCCAACATTCTACACGCGTTTTGAGCTCCAGAGTCGCTAAACAGGACTCGAACCGACGTCCAATGGATTCCCCGCTCGATGAGCAAGGGTCACACGCACGGCTCGAGTCTCGTTCAGCGACTCTGCACGGTAAAAACGGTCTCCGGGTTTCCCAGACACACCCTGAAAAAATAGCCTCTTTTTCCAGGGTGGGCGTGGGAAACCCTAACACAGTTTTTGCCGTGTGGAGCTCAAAACGCGTCTAGTATTTTGGCCGCCTCCACCGTTCTTCTGACAAATCCACTGTGCAGCGCCACGCCGACCATGTGTTTGGAAACGTGCAGGAATCTTTCTCTTTTCTCGGAGACTGGGCAGTGAAATGCCGTAGAGGATGATGAACTGAACCACTGCACCCACACTGTCAAACCAAATGTTGAGAACAGAGTGTGAAACAAGGCTTGCACGTGGATTCTTATACCCGTTTCCGGTCACAGCTATTCTACATTTACGTCATAATTCACTCTTAAACCATGTCGTTTCACGTCCACAACGAGCAACAAACGAAAACTTTCTTTCCCTTCTCCTTGGCCGTGCACCCCTCGTTGAGATCCGCCCGGAGTGACGCGGACACGGGACTCCGGCACCGGTGGACATTGTCCGGTGGACAATACTCAAGGCGCCCCCATATTGGTCCCCGTATTTGCACTGCGCTTGGCCGCTGCCCACTGAGCCAGAAAGTGCATGCGTCTCGCTTTATTGGTTCGCTGCTCTCTCGTCCACCGCCCCGCCATCCTTCTTCAATACCATATTCCTCCCCCTCCCCCCCCTAAGGTCATATGGAAGATAGGTCTGCGCAACCGAGATGCATGCTGGGAGACCGGGCAAGCCGGCAGGCAGGCTGGCAGGCAGGTAGGCGGTCCTCCGCTGCGGCCGGCGACGGATTCGGGAGGGATTAGCTGCCCGGTCTCCCAGCATGCATCTCGGTTGCGCAGACCTATCTTCCATATGACCTTCCCCCCCCCCCCACTCACCTTTCGGACTGTCCTCGTGGACGCCCAATTTCATTTTTTTTATCGTCATACTATTCAGTTCATGCAAGCCGTTGTTTTACCTTTCTTTTTTTCGACTTGCCGTCCGTCATACAGGACGAGGCTATTCAGACAGTATGGAGGGGCAGGTCTCCCCGTCAGTACCTGTCGCCGTCAGCAGACTGAGCGCTGCTCTCGTCGGTCTGTCTCTCTTTGTGGAACGCCCCATGAGTGCGAGAGAGACAGACTGACAGCGTGCAGCCCTACGCAGCCCCCTACCCCTTCGGGGCCACGCGAAGCCCCTCCAGCGACGGCGTCTTCGAAGACGCTCCAGCAGACTGATCTCTGGAAATTCCCCCTCCCCTCCTCCCCCTCTCTCCCTCCATCCCTCTCCCTCCCTCCCTCCCTCCCTCTCTCTCGCTCTCTCTCTCCCTGCTCTCTCTGTATCAGTCTGTGTCTCTGTCTCTGCCTCTCTCTCGCACGCGACGGGCCCATATGCCGCCTTATTTGAGGCGTCTCTGTTCATATCGCATACAGCTCGCCGGGTCAAGCTTATTGCCAAATACCGCCCAAGGGGTCCGAGGGGTCGGCACACACGCCGCGCTGCCGCGCTGCCCCGTGGGGGGCTCCAGGGGCTCCACGGGGCTCTACCTCGCCAGCGGGGCCGCGGAGGTGGATCAGACTCCTTGGCAGGGCACAAGGTCTTCCCTTCCTCTGCCCCTCCTCCTCCCTCCCGGCCGGGAAGACCCCCCCCCCCCCCAGCGGGGTTTCCCTCACTTGAAGTTGCCATTCACGAGCTAAGTGTGTCGGTGTGCCGGCGTGTCGAGGAGCTCCGCCGTCTTGCTCGGAAGACCCCCGGTCGGTCCGTCGCCCTGCCTCTCTCGCACCCTTACGGAGAGCCCCGTGAGTGCGACAGAGACAGAGAAACGACTCTTCGGAGTCGCTCGCCTGAATGCCGAATGGCGTCATCAATCCGGAATCCCGCTCAGAGCACATCCACGCCACGCCACGCTAGCCATGCCACGCCACGCCTCGCCACGCCACGCACGCCGAGTGTGGTGACAGTACTACTCGCAAAAGCCTATGGAGAATAATTGGAGTGTTTCAAGAAGGAACCTTACTCGACATAGCAGTTTCACAACCGACTTGCCGCCACCAAATTCAACACGAAGTCTTGTTGACGGCGAGGTAAAGTCAGAGATACCGAAGTCTCCTGTTAACCTGTCATATCCTGTTTCAGCAATGTCTCCTGGGCTGCACTGCGCGGAGAACACAGCGTTAGGCTGGGGCATTATCCTTTGTACTTATTGGCAAGGGGGGGAGGAGGCATGGGCCGAGGTATTGTCTGTACTTATCGGAAAGGGGTGGAGGGCACTGCTGGTCGAGTATCTCTGCCACCTGGTGCCGGCCGGGCCCAGCCCGCGACGCCTCATTGGGGGCCAGGGACCCGCCAGGCCTCGCCTGCCCGCTGTTGGGCTGTTTGTATTCTATTAGCACAATGGGCCGCAACGCGTGGCAACGCGCCGCCTGTAATTGGACTGTGTTTCGTTGTCTAATTTGTTTGCCGAGGCCTCCGGGGCCGCGAGGCCGCGAGGATGCGGACATGGAGGTGGAGGCCGGAGTGCGAGGCCCAGTGTGATTGCAAATAGGCGACCTGCAGGAGAACAATCCAAACAATCAATGCGACCAAGCTACCTTTTTATTTCTTCGTTTTTGTAACTTTACACCCGACGGGGGCTTTCATAACAGTAACACCCGACAGAGGCTTTCGTAACAATGACTTACATCCGACAGAGTCTTTCGTCCGACAGAGGCTTTTTTTAACAGTAAAAACAAAGTCTTTACAAGTCACTTTACCCCGCTATGTACACGTCGACTTAAATTTAAAAATCTGAGGAACTGAGGGAAAGACCACCGTGAGTTTGTTGTTATTCTCTAGAAGTACTAACTAGTTAAGGCTCTTATATAAATAACAGTATTTTTTTTCTTTTTAATAAAAAGGCTAATGACGTCCATTCTTAAGTTCATCTACCCATCTATCCACCGAGCCATCCATCCATCCATCCATCCATCTATCCATCCATCCATCCACCCATCCATCCTTCCATCCATCAACAAATTTAAAAGGCAAGGGTTACGGGGGGCAGAAAGGCAGACGAAGGGTCAAAAAAGGAACAAACCAACAGTCCTCTAAACGTATCTACATTAGATTCCTTCGTAAATTGATGAAAGTTCCTGGCAACCTTCCGTCTAGTGGCACCCTGATACATTCCGAAGCTGTGCTTTCACAGGAAGCGACTGGACAAGCCGCAGACCTACTACTGGGGCGCGTCGGAGCACGGCGGAGCACAGTGGGCCAGAAGACCGGTGGAGGCGGCCAAAATTCTGCACGAGTTTTGAGCTCCAGAGTCGCTAAACATGAACCGAACCGAGCGCGTGTTACCCCACCTATGGATTCTTCGTACGGAAAGCAATCCATTAGCAGGGGTGACAGGTTCGTTTCGAGTCTCATTTGGCACCTCTGGGGCTCAAAATGCGACTAGAATTTTGGGCGCCTCCACGGGTCTTCTGGCAAATCCACTGTGCGCTGGCGTGCCATTGCCCGGCCGGCATTGCTGGAGGTAAGGCTAAACAAGATTAATCGGCGCCTCATCATCGTCCCGCCGAGGACACTTTTACGGTGGCCATTCCCTGCTTTTGTGTGCGCGGCCCGCGCGGCGATGAAATGGATGACGCAACTTTGAGAGGAATTACTGCCGCCGGGAAGAAAGAGTGCACGCCTGCAGACTGATCCCGAGAGTCGTTTTCGTCGCTCTGTCCCTCCTGCACTCATGGCATACCCCCTATTGGTGCGAGAGAGACAGAGCGACGGAAAAGGCTCTCGGAATCAGTGTGCTGGTCGACTCGTGACTTTGCGATAAATCAGGCCGCGCTTCCCGAACCGTTCCCGAGCGCTTCCTGGGCGATTCAATTTTTCTAGCGGTGCTGCGGGCCGCGTCCACGCAGAGGGAAAAAAGGGGGAGGGGGACCTTGTTAAGTTTGTCCGTCGGTCCGTCGGCCTTGCGACCATCACGTCGTTACACTGTGATTGGCTCTCGCTGGGTTTGGCCGCCACTTCATTGTGTTGGCTCCACAAAGTTGGCAATGACGCTCTCGGAGATTATATTGGCGTCAGCGATCGACCTTCGCCCCTCCTTCTCCTACTCGTTGTCGTCTAATCGAAGGCGCCAACTTTTAATGTGGCTGTTTATGGTGGAGGGGCGGCCGCCGCCCCGCCGCCGCCAACCCCTCCCTCGCTCTCATTCCAGCAACGGTGACGTCACATTCGTCTGAGCGCCAAACGTAGCACATTCGTTTCAATGCGACTCGGCTAGACACTGGCCTCATCTCGATTCACGTTCATCATTGGAAACGAATGTGGCAGTACTCAGATTGTGAACGTGACACGATTGGCGGTCAAACGGCCGGGACGTTACATTCAGGAGAGTGGTTGTGCACACGAGAGGAAATAAATGAAACGTGCACTCACGCGGATAGATAGGTATTTCACTTAGTTCTTTTTATTTTCTTTGGTCCAATTATACTTTGCCTCAAGACCGCCACACACCAGTTAACGTATTTCTTTTTTTTGTTATTTTTGATGGTTTCTATGCGAAAAAAAGTTGTTGATTCAACTGAAATATTGTTCAAATAATCATGTTTTATTTGACAGCTACACTTTTCTGTTTGACTATCACACTGCGCGGAGGAAAACAAATTTAACAAAACTTCATAAACTTTGCATCTATAAATTAGGATTCGTTGAGATCTATAAGACTATAACATGTAAGTAATACTGTTAAATGCTCCCCAACAATTTGTACTGATTCACATATTTTTTTGGCACCATTGGTTTGCAGTCACTCGCACGATGCCGCACAGCACAGCCCGATGACTCGTCTCAGAGAACCAGACCCAGGTCTGCTGAAGCACGGACCCAGAGAAGGGGGCGAAATGACAATTCTCATCCCCACCTCCCCAAATTCTCCTTTCCCTAGATAACCACCTAGCAGGTAGAACAAACCCGAACACTTTGTCCCAGAACCTAGGCAAAAAGTGCTGTGACCCGCCTGGTTCAACTCGACAAGGACAACAGCATTGCAACGCAGGGCCGAGACGGCGTCGAGGCCGAGAGTGCCCCGTGGTTGAGGCCGAGGTCTCACAGCAGGTCGAACGCAGAGGGCGGCCCGCGCCTCGCCGCCCTGCCGCCCCGCCGCCCTCACTTGGAGCCGAGCCCCTGTCCGAGGCCCTGCGCCATGCCCTGCGCCATGCCCTGCGCCATGCCCTGGCCCATGGCGGCGCCGAGGCCGTCCACCTGGTGGAAGCCGTTGCTGGAGGCGGAGGACGAGGCCGCCGTTGAGCCCGCCCCGTTGCCCTGTTGTTGTTGTTGTTGTTGTTGTTGTTGTTGCTGTTGTTGTTGCTGCTGCTGCATCGGAGGCACGCCGCGTCGATCTGGTGACCCCATGTCTGGAGGGCACTGCGTCATGGAAGCGCCCAAGCCCGCCATCTGCAACACAGCGAGCACGCCGTCAAACAAAGCACGTTCCCGTCAACACGCCGCGTCATGGAGGCGCCCAAGCCCGCCATCCGCAACACAGCGAGCACGCCGTCAACCAAGCACCTTCCCGGCAACACGGCGTCTTGAACGGCTTGCTTTGTCCGTGATCCGGCTGAGTACACACAGGCTGCTTGTTCTCCGCCCACCCCTTTTTGTCCCACCTGAGGCCGACCCCGGCGGCCCCAGCCCCGGCCAGGGCCCCGGCCTGCTTGCGGCCACGCCGATACGGCCCAAGGGGCCGCGCCACGCCGCGCCGCGACACGCCACCTCCTCAAGACCGCTTTAATTAAAGCCAAACAATGGCGACTAAGCCGCTTTCGATTCACACTCGTCGCACGCTCCATGTGCCGCGAAAAGGGGCGGGGAGGGGAAGGGGGAGGCGGTGGACAAGCAGCAGACTGATTCAGAGAATAGCTTTCGTCGCTCTGTCTCTCTCGCACTCATGGCTGCTCTGTACGGCAGCGACTCTCGGGACCAGTCTGCAGGCCTGCATAGTTGATGCCAGCCAAGACGCACGGCCACCGCACGGCAGCGGTCCGACAGCGACGACGGCCCCGCCCCGCCAAATTCCCAAACAAGTTGCCATCAGAGACATTCCCGCGCACCGCAAGGAGGTAATCCTGCCCCGTGGCCTGCGGGGGCGCCCGTCTGCCCCCTGGCCCTGCCCCCTGGCCCTGCCCCCTGGCCCGGCCGCACGGTTATGCATACTGCACGTTCCAGCACCGAGGGCTGGAGCCGCTGGAGCGGTGCCCGGGGCTGCGCCGACGGCTGCCGAAGTCTCTCTGTCTCTCTCCCACCCCTACGGGCCGCCCTGCGAGTGCGACAGAGACGGAGCGACCACACGACTCCTCGGAGTGGGCGGGCGGGGCGCGGATAAACTGCCTGACAAGCACGCGTGTCTCACGACGCGCCGCATTCCTCGGCAGTCTCACTGCAGTCGCTCTGTCTCTCTCACACTCGCGGGGCGGCCCGTAGGGGTGCGAGAGAGACAGAGCGGCGGGAACGCCTCTCGGAATCAGTCCAGTGCGTCTCGCACAAGGCGGGCCGCTCTACACTGCGAGTCCCAGTGTAGCCACGACACAGGAGTGGGCAAAGATTACTACTCGGTGAAAACGGTTCTGGTTTTTCCCAAGAACTCTCTGCAAATCGCCTATGCCTGTACTATGGGCTACCTGGGAACCCAAGAACCGTTTTTGCCGTTTGTACCCGTTTGTACCTCAAGAAAGATAATTCAACCCAATCACTGGGGAAAGAAATGGCACTGTCATGTGGCATTTGCGGTCTTCGCACTTGGAGGTGCAGAGTCTGCGATCTCCACACTTCAGGTTTGCATTCCGTGGCAAGGGCTCTGTACGCTGCTCCACACTTGAAGTGTGCCGAACGCAAACTCCGCATGCTTCCGCGTGTGAAATTACTCCGCACCAGGAAGTCCGGAGTGGTTGGTTTCGTAGTGTAGCGCCTGCCGGTGTGGCGATGCTCGCCCGTCGAGCAGGCGTGCGTGGCGGGCCGGCCTACCCTCACAGGCGCATCTTGCCGTGCAGCAGCGCCAGCAGCTGACTCCGAAGGCAGTCGCTCTCTGTCTCTGTCGCACTCATGCGGTGCCCCATGCGGGTGCGACAGAGCAACGTCAGCAAAGGCTCCTCGGGATCACCCGGCGGCGGCAGCGGCGCACAGTGGATCAGAAACCGGCGGAGGCGGCCAAAATTCGAGACGCGTTTTGAGCTCCAGAGTCGCTAAATGGGACACCAACCGACCGTGTGACCCCACCAATGGATTCCTCGTTCGGAGAGCTATCCATTGGTGGGGTCACACGGTCGGTTCGAGTCCCATTTAGCGACTCTGGAGCTCAAAACGCGTGTCGAATTTTGGCCGCTCAGGCGGTCTTCTGGCCCACTGTGCGGCGGCAGCGACGCAGCAGCGGGTCCCGAAACTTGGTCGCTAAGACCGTGCCGCTGTTTGCCGTCTCGCCGAGGGCCTTGGCGAGGGCCTTGGCGAGGTCCTTGGCGGCCCGGCTGGCGCAGGCTGGCGCAGCCGCAGGCCAACTTGGCGGTACTAAGCCTCGCGATCGGGGCGGCCAGGACGGCCAGGCCCAGGACGTCCAGGCAGGGCCGACCCGCCCCGCCGTGGCCCCGCCTTGGCCCCGCCGGGCCGGGCCGCGCAGTTTGCAGGCTAATCCCGCATGGGCCCGAGGCGGTCCTCTTTTTGCAGCGTGTCTCTCTCTCTCTCTGTCTCTCAGACTCTGGGGTGCGAAAGAGACAGAGCCTTCGGCCCGCTGAGCGACACTGTTAGGCCACACAATAAAAGCGTTATAAATCCATGTTCCGGCGCCAATTGTCGACTCGGGAGGCCGGAGGGCGGCCGCCTGGATGGAGTGCGCTTCGGCCAAGAAGGGAGGGAGGGAGAGAGAGGGGGGGGGGTCACCCCGCCACACTGGCTGCCTGGGGAGACTTTATCGAATGTTATGGCAGCCATAAGGAGGCCGTGCTCGACTACAGTGGTGTACAGGACTGCCGGCTCTGCGCCACGGCGGCGGCGTCGTCTGCGAGGCTTTAGAGCTGGTTCGGGTCGAGTTTGGGGCGGCAGGGGGGCAGCAGTCCTGGACTGCTGTTTACATTTTGGAGAAATGACGCCAACAATACACTCTTCCGTGTTTCGCGGTGGAGAAAACACGGACAAAGGGGCACAGTTTAAAAGTTGTATAGTGAAGATTCTCTATATCCTATGTGAAAAATCTCCGTATTATGGTGGTGCAGCCAAATTTTCAGGTCCGTTACTAGCTAACATTTTATTTTTACACTGCAGCGGATATCGTGTGTAATTCAACGACTGTGGCGTCGCATTTTCGTTGGACCCTCCCCGTGGTACAATTTTGGAACAGGGTGTCGCATCCGACCACAAATATTTTTTGTGCAAGTTTCTTGGCTGCGGGACGAAGGTGATGTACTTACAAGGGCCCTGGCGACGACCTATGCGAAAACAGATCGCGAACACCGCAACTACTGTTGTAAAACCCGCAACCCCCTCCCTCTCTACCGCAGGCAGACGCATCAGGAAGCAAAGATAAGGCGCTGCGGCGAAAGAGAGAGAGAGAGAGAGAGAGAGAGAGAGAGAGAGAGAGAGAGAGAGAGAGAGAGAGAGAGAGAGAGAGAGAGAGAGAGAGAGAGAGAGCGAAAAGAAACCGCTCCATCTCGGAGAATCTCATTCAACTTTGAGTCGCAGCATGTCTGCAGACACGCGGCGCGGCGCGGCCCCGCCTGGCCTGCCCGCAGCGAGCTGGAAAAATGAGCGGCACCGTAGCGGGGAGGGGAGGGGGGGTGAAGGGCGTGAGGGGAGGGGGGAGGTCACCGACAGCGCAAACAGGAAGACAGGGCGCCGATAGCAGGTGGGGCGCGACGGGGCGACGCGCGAGGCCCCCGATGGTGTTATCGAAGTGACATTAGCCCGAGGCCGTGCACTGCAGGCTCTGGAGGCTCTGGAGGCAGTGTAGGCACTGCAGGCTCCAGCGGCACCACATTACAAGTCCCCCACGGCCATCCATCGGCCGCCTTCGCCTGCCTTCCTCTCGCCATCGTTCTCGGCATCGCGGCGCGGTGCCTACGTGAAACGCACGCCGTGCCACGCTGCGGGGCGGCGGCATGGCGACGGCATGGCGGCGGACGCATGTGTGTCTAGGCAGTGCACTGCCAAACCGAGTGGCTCCGCTCTTCCTGGGGCGGAGCAATCCTCCAGAGTTGGACGAGTTGAGTTTGCAGTCTCCACACTAGTCCGCAGAGCCCCCATCCCTTGGCATGGTGCAAACGTGGCGACTGCAAATTCCACACCTCCGCATTTCAAGTGCGGAGTTCCCCACAGTTTTTATTTTTTCACAGTGTAGTGGTTTGCTTGAACTACACTCCAGTTGTACCAGTGCAGCATCACCACCCTTTGCACCCACTCACCCCGGGCTGCTGCGGCAGGCTGGTCTGCCGCTTGAGGTGCGTGATGGGCGGCGGGTTGTACGCCATGTTGGCGAACACCATCCGCTCCTCGTAGTCGTACTCGCAGAGGATCTTGTTCTCGCAGAGGTAGAACCGGTCGCCGACGCAGAACCTGGAGGGCAGCGAGGAACACACTGTCAAACCAAGTGAAAGTGCAGTGTACTCCACAATTCAGGGTGTGGAGTAGCTCACAGAGCCCCTAACTCTGGACATGGTGCAAACGTGGAGAACTCCACACGTAGAGGCTGCCAGGGCTGCCAGTTCTACACTCTTCCAAGTACAGAGATTGCAATCCGCACCCCCACATTTCAAGCGTGGATTTCTCCGCGTTTGCTCTCACAGTGGAGCAACACACAACATGAATTAATTTTCGGCAGCCCCACAACAAGAAGCCTTGAGACAGAAAAAGCGACTGGCTCAATTATTTCCTTCCTGAGAATGGATACACGGCAAGGGCCGGGCGGCCGGGACTCGAATTCATTGCGCGCCACTTATGCAGCCTTCGGGCCTTCGGGCCTTCGGGCCTTCGGGCCTTCGGGCCTTCGGGCCTTCGGGCCTTCGGGCCTTCGGGCCTTCGGGCCTTGGAGCCTTGGAGCCTTCGGGCCTTCGGGCCTTCGGGCCTTCGGGCCTTCGGGCCTTGGAGCCTTGGAGCCTTCGGGCCTTCGGGCCTTCGGGCCTTCGGGCCTTCGGGCCTTCGGGCCTTCGGGCCTTCGGGCCTTCGGGCCTTCGGGCCTTCGGGCCTTCGGGCCTTCGGGCCTTCGGGCCTTCGGGCCTTCGGGCCTTCGGGCCTTCGGGCCTTCGGGCTTCGGGCCTTCGGGCCTTCGGGCCTTCGGGCCTTCGGGCCTTCGGCCTTCGGCCTTCGGGCCTTCGGGCCTTCGGGCCTTCGGGCCTTCGGGCCTTCGGGCCTTCGGGCCTTCGGGCCTTCGGGCCTTCGGGCCTTCGGGCCTTCGGGCCTTCGGGCCTTCGGGCCTTCGGGCCTTCGGGCCTTCGGGCCTTCGGGCCTTCGGGCCTTCGGGCCTTCGGGCCTTCGGGCCTTCGGGCCTTCGGGCCTTCGGGCCTTGGGCCTTCGGGCCTTCGGGCCTTCGGGCCTTCGGGCCTTCGGCCTTCGGGCCTTCGGGCCTTCGGGCCTTCGGGCCTTCGGGCCTTCGGGCCTTCGGGCCCTCGGGCCTTCGGGCCTTCGGGCCTCGGGCCTTCGGGCCTTCGGCCTTCGGGCTTCGGGCCTCGGGCCTTCGGCTTCGGGCCTTCGGGCCTTCGGGCCTTCGGGCCTTCGGGCCTTCGGGCCTTCGGGCCTTCGGGCTCGGGCCTTCGGGCTTCGGGCCTTCGGGCCTTCGGGCTTCGGGCCTTCGGCCTTCGGGCCTTCGGGCCTTCGGGCCTTCGGGCCTTCGGGCCTTCGGGCCTTCGGGCCTTAGGGCCTTAGGGCCTTAGGGCCTTCGGGCCTTCGGGCCTTCGGGCCTTCGGGCCTTCGGGCCTTCGGGCCTTCGGGCCTTCGGGCCCTCGGGCCTTCGGGCCCTCGGGGCGCATACGGGGTTTCAATCAGATACCTCGGTAGAATGCCGAGTGGCGCATGAATTAGCGAGTGGCACACCTGGTTTTACAACCGCGGCTGAAAATGACAAATCAAATCGAATCAAGAATTTCGGCTGCTTCTATTTATTTTTGATTGCAAAAACGAACCAAACATGTATAATTTACGAATTATACCTCGCCTAAAATACGGTGAGGACTCGAGTCTGTCATTCTTTCTTTCATTCAAAGACTTCCATTCTCAGTGGCCCTGTATGCAGCCAGCCCCGACTTGTGCTCCGCCACTGCTCTGTTCCAATGCCGCGATAACGCTGCCACACTGTTGTATGCCAATTGAGCATTTACTCGAGCGCTGCGCCGTTTGTCCTGCCAATCACAGAAAAGGCCAGGGACTGCGCCCTTGGCCGCCGTCTCTCTCGCGCGCACGGGGCGCTCCGTGCGTCCGAACGCGTGCGAGAGAGACAGAGCGACTAAATGCTCGGAATGAGACTCGTGACTCGAGTGGCGCCGCGATTCCGTCGCCTTAATGTTTCCCTGCTCGGCATCCATTTTCATAGGCTTGTTAAAAAGCGCCGCGTCGTGGGGTGGCAAGCCAGGCAGGCAGGCAGGCAGACAGGCTGCCAGGCAGCCAGGCAGGGCCGCGCGCACATCAAGCCACTTAATAAATTCCATTGCCATTCTCGGCCAACTATGCGCTTTTTGTTGTTGTGTTTTTTCGGGTCCGCGCGGCATGAATGGGTTTGGAATGCACGAACCGTTTGCGAGAATGAAACGCTTTTCTGTGCGGCCACGGCCGGCCATGCTATAGCGGCCCCCCTCGTTGTAATCGCCCGCCGCCCCTGCAAAGCGCGCCAGATTTTAGCGAGTGCGGTGTTGGCGGGGTCCGGTCGCGCCCGCCGCCCCTGCAAAGCGCGCCAGATTTTAGCGAGTGCGGTGTTGGCGGGGTCCGGTCGCGTCCGCCGCGCGGTTCCGGAGAGAAAAGTCGCGTCTCTGTCGCCCCCACGGGTCGCCTCGTGAGTGCGACAGGGGCAGGGCGAGACTGGGGCCGGGCGGCCGGCTCGTGCACGAGGGAGGCGACGGACGTGAGTAGCGCGACATGTGTGCGCGGCCCCGCGGCCCCGCCGCCCTGCGCGACCGCGCCGTGGCGAGCCGCACTCATTTGCATAGCCGGTCACGTGAGGAGGCGAGCATTAAATAAGGCGGTGCTTACGGGCCGAGGGGGGCAGGGCGCCACTGCCTCGCCAGGCTCCATGACTTTAACCCAATTCCGGATTTCAGAGCTCCGGGATCATTTTCTTTAAACACCAGGCCGGGGCTTGGAGGGAGGGAGAGAGAGAGAGAGAGAGAGAGAGAGAGAGAGAGAGAGAGAGAGAGAGAGACTGACGCTTTCTTCGGAGACGGCCTGGTGCTGCGGGCGGCGTGGCGAGAGAGACTCGACCAGCCCAAGCAAGCGGTGCGCACCGCACCGCACCGCAGTGGGCCAGAAGACCGGTGCGGCCAGTTGAACCCACGGCCCACGCACTGCGAGTTGCCCGGCGGGGAAGGACGCCCCTGCCGCGGGCACCTCGGCCAGTGGCACGCGGGGCGGGGCGGGGCGGGGCGGGGCGGGGCGGGGCGGGGCGGGGCGGGCGGGTGGGCGGGGCGGGGCGGGGTGGGGTCATCCCCGAGTGTTCACCTTGGCGGCTAGCTTGGCCGCGTGGCCGCGTCTTCTCGGCGGGGGATTGATAAATTATCTCGTTAACATAAACGCCGGGCAGTGTATCACCGGACGGGTGGCCGCGCCGCGCGCCCCCACCATGCCCACCACGCGACGCCAAGCCGCCAAGCCGCCGAGACACCAAGTGACAAATACTTCCGGGCGCGCCGCACCGCCGCCCTGCTGGAACACTCACGCTTGAAACCTCAAAATGTTTTCGCATAGCGCAGTTCGTTGCGTGGCGGGTCGCCGAGCTTAAATCTGAGGTTCGATTGTAGACAGTCCAGAGTTACTGGGAGACATGGGTCTCACAACAGGTGGCCTAAGGGCCTTGAAATTGAGCCAAAGATGCTAGAAACGACTGAAAAACTGACCCTCGGCTGTCCTGACCTAACTACCCCTCACCCGCCCCAATCTTACCTTACCTCACGTAACCTAACCTAACCTGCGAGCAGCGAGACTCACCTGTGTCCGCACTGCTGGCAAGCGAAGCACTCCAGGTGGTACACGTTGTGCCGGGCCCGCATCACCATCTCGAAGGCCGGGATCACCTTGGAGCACGCCGCGCAGCAGCCCGTGCTGCCAAACAGCCTGTGCGGAATGGCAACGGTCATTAGAAGGAGGAGGTCCTGGCCTCTGCACAGTGGGCCAGAAGACCGCGGTCAATGAGGCGGTCAAAACCCCCGGCGCGTTTTGAGCTCCAGAGTCGCTGAATGGGACTCGAACCGAACGTGTGACCCCACCAAAGGATTCCTCTCCGAACGAGGAATCCGTGGTGGAGCCACACGATCGGTCTGAATCATGTTTAGCGACTCTGGAGCTCAAAACGCGTCTAGAGTTTTGGCCGCCTGTCTTCCGACCTTCTGGCCTGCTGTGCTTCGGTCCTGGCCTTGGCTCTGGCCCGACGGAAACGCCTCATGAGTACGCTTGGTGCGCAAAGTGTGGCGCAGGCGGGCGCAGGCACCACTCACCTGAGGTAGTCCCGCTTGCAGAGGATGAGGTTGGCCTTGATGTAGAGGGTGGAGCCCACTTCACCCAGCCGGCAGTCGCAGCAGCCGCACTTGAGGCAGTCCTCGTGCCAGAACATGTCAAGTGCTTTTAGCAGATACCTGGAACATTGGCAAGTTTGTGTTCATTCATTCATTCATTCATTCATTCATTCATTCATTCATTCATTCATTCATTCATTCATTCATTCATTCATTCATTCATTCATTCTTTCATTCATTCATTCATTCATTCATTCATTCATTCATTCATTCATTCATTCATTCATTCATTCATTCATTCATTCATTCATTCATTCATTCATTCATTCATTCATTCATTCATTCGTTCGTTCGTTCGCTGTAGGAGTTTGCAGTCTGCACTCTTCAAGTGCGGAGTAGCTCACAGAGCCACTGTCTCTCTTGGCTCGGTGCAAACGTGGGGAACTCCACACCTGAAGTGAGCAGACTGCAAACTCTGCCTTTCCAAGAGCGGAGACTTCCACGCGTCCGCACTGTGTGGCGTCGGTTGTTTCGACAGTGTGTCGCCTCACCTCTCCGTGATGGTCTTCCCGCAGCCGGCGCACTTCTGCGGCCCGGCCCCGGCCTGCGCCTCGGCCTTCACGTCCATCGTCATCTTCCGCCGCACCGCGCGTCGTCCTGCAACAACAGCAATAACAACGGGGATGAGGCCAGCACCCCTCGCCCTTGCGCACAGAGAGTCGTCGCTCCGTCTCTCTCGCACTCACGGTGGCAGAGAGACAGCGCGACGAAAACGACTCTCGGCGTCAGTCTGCTGATGGACGCCGCATTCATACCGCCACACTGTAGCGGGCTGTGGAGGTGCAGTCGATCCATCACGAGTGTGTCTTTTCTCATGCTGATCTGGCCGTATTAAAAAGCCATTCGGGCGTCGCCCCCCCCCGGTCCGTCTCTCTCGCTCTCGCTCTCTCTCTCTCTGGTCACAGCGCCAGGGTTAATGAGGTTACAGGGACGGCGGCCAGGCGCCGCCCAGGGGAGCGGGTGACCGGGCAGGGCGGGGCGGAGGCCCGCCGGGCCGGCGAGGTGTACGAGCGCGAGGTGAAGGGGTAGCCGGGGTAATCGGTTATCTCCTGCTGGCTCATTACCCAACCGGAGGAGAGCCACTGCAAGGGTAGAGTGGAGAGGGGGAGAAGGGAGAGGGGGGAGAAATAGGAAAGAGGAGGGAGAGGGGGGAGGAGCGAGGAGGGAGGAGAGAGAAGGGGCAGAGGGGGAGTACATCTTCCAGGTAAAGCCAGCAGCGGACTGATTCCGAAAGTCATTTTCGTCGCTCCGTCCCTCTCGCACTCATGGGGCGAGAGAGACAGCGATGCAAGACGACTCTCGGAATCCGCCTTAGCCGTTCAGTAGAGAGTTATCATAAGTTTTTTGATCAACTTTTTGACAAGTTTTTGATCGCGAAAAAGCAGTTCCTCCAGCAGACACGAGCCTCGGGATTCAGCACAGCAGCCCTTTTTTTCACCTATTGGTGTTTCTATTATATTATAATTATGACAGAGGGTTGCGCAGGGCGCCACGTGGAAAGGGCGGGAAAAACCCTAAAATCCCTCGGAACGCCACGCTATGGGGTGCAAACTCGATCCAAGAAACATGTTTGTGGTTGGTATCCACATGATTTTCTTCGCTCCACCCCCTCCCCTCCCCCAGCTCAAGACTTTGCTCAACATCAAAGTCAACTTTGGGGGTTAGCTACACCACAACAGGCTCACTTTCCCCATGAATGACCGTGGGTTGATCCGCTGGCGGATGGGTCTGCCCAGCTCGGCACACCCTTTGAGACTGATTTCGAGAGTTCTCTTTTCACTTTTCTCTTTCGCGCTCGAGCGTCGCGTACACACTGCAAATCCAAGTGCAGGACAAGTATGCCCTGTTGCGCATCAAAATGACCCACATTTGGATGCAGAAACCACTCACGTCCCACAGTTGGCATGCGTTGGGCACCGCGGTCTTTGCTTGTAAGAGTAGGACCCAGTTTGTCTTTCGCTTCCAATCAGAGGCTCAATACAGGATTGAATTGAACGATGAACGCCTGGTTAGAATGTCAAGGGTTGTTCATAAACCACATCAAAGAAGAGATTAAATTCATACTAGAATCGACAAACATTTGGCGAAAACGACTCTTGGAATCAGTCTGCTAGTCTGCTGGACCAGTGGTGGCTGTGCTGGCTGCGCTCATTGGGGCTGTCGGAACCGGGAGTCATCTTCTCATCATTGAACTTCAAACCGCGAGTTGTGAATTATTGGTCCCCCTCCCCCGCCACGCAATATGTATTTATTTGGAGAAGCTTTCCCTCCCCTTCCATTTTTTCGCCGCCCTGATTGACAGCCGTGCGTACCGCCGCACCGCGCGTTCGAAAATTAATGGCCTCGGCAGACAGACTCCGAAAATCTCTCTCTGTCTCCGTCGCACTCACGAGGCGTGCCTTGTCGGTGCGAGAGAGACAGAGCGACGAAAACGACTCTCGGAATCAGTCTGCAGGCCGCTAAAAACCCGTCATATTGATGACGCCAAAAAGGAGCGGGGTCGTCAGCCGGGCGATTCGAAAAAGGGCCGTGTCGTCGCTCTGTCTCTGTCGCACTCATGGGGATCTCCATGAGGGTGCGAGGGAGACAGCACGGCAAACCGCCCTTCGCCCGGCAGACACTGCGGTCACACCGCCAACGGGAGGGGAGGGGGAGAGGGGGGGAGGGGAGGGGAGGGGCATGCGAGTCAAGCAGCGAGTCTTGCCAATAATTTGGCGCGCCGGCAATAGAATCGGAGGCGGGGCCCAGCAAGGCGGTTCCGAGCACGGGGCTTCGTCGCGCTGTCTCTCTCGCACCGCCATACGGGCCGTGCCAGGAGTGCAAGAGAGACAGAGCGAAGATAGCGCCGCCGCTGTCCGGAATGAAATGGCATGCCGTGACGCATGGACGGCGCAGGCAAAGGTTACAGATGGAAGTGATGCTGCGTGGGCGGAGAGAGAGACAGAGAGAGGGGGGGGGGGGGTATGCGGACGGAGGAGGCATGCCAATGAGGCCCTGCCGCAGGCGCAGCCCCGCGGGGTGCGTTGCAGTGCGTTACAGTGCGGTGCCCGATGGGCCGGAAAACGCGTAAACTCTAGACACAATCTGACGTGAGCGCATGACGGTACCAGCGTTCAATGCTAATCGATCGGAACCAATAGGAGCAGTTGCCAAAATAAGGGTATATTTCGTGTCTTTTGGCTCTATAATCGTTATTTTTCAACGTATTGAGATGCGGTTTGGTGCGTTGTGTTGGACTCGACGTCGCCCACTCTTATCCATCTGAAGTCACCACTTTTTCAATTCAGAAGATGTCGATAAAGTGCTCCAAAGGGTCATTTTGTAACGTTCCGGCATGTCCCCCGTCCATAAATTCAAAGTTTCGATGCTTAAATTTCAGCTAATATGAAACGTAGAACGATTCTGAGAAGATATTCGGAAACTTTATTACTTTATCTATCAGACACATGTTACTGAACTCGTTTTTACGAGCTCGATTTGGGTGCAATCTGTAAACGCAAAATGTCCTCCGTGGTTGACTTTGCGGAACGTTACATGTGAATTATCACGGTTGTACTCCACTGATAGTTCTCGCCCTTGTCGTCAGATTAATCTGTAGAATTTTTGCCGTCGAATGGTGCAAACGGGAACTCTGAGAAGTTAATAGAAAGCTCAGAATCTTGTTTTATAGGTTATGTTTCGGTAGTGTCCGACCATGATTTTAAAATGCTTTTCTGTTCCCCGGGCAAGTTCTAGACCAAACAGAGATATGATTCTATCGGGACGTGTTGAGGAATCTTAAAACAGGAGCTCACACCAAATGGCGTGTTTTAATTCATAGCAAGAGAGTTACTAGGCCTGTTTGAATGACAATGTAACGTTCCGTATCCCGCTGTTTTCTGTAACGTTCCGTGTCTTTCCCCTATACTTTTGATAGGGGCTTTTTGGTATTTCTGCAATATTGCACCGGGAGCTCGACTGCGTTCAGATATAAGTCGTGGGACATCACTGAATAAATTGGCCGAGAAAAAAGCCGACTTTTCCACATTTTTTTGTTGCGGTTCTATGGCCTTCAAAAGTGCCCCGAATTTTGGCAACTGCTCATAGCACAGTGGGCCAGAAGAGCAGTGGAGGTGGCATTGGGACTCGAACCAAACGTGTGACCCCGCCACGGACTGCTCTTCGGACGAGTAACCTTATTGATGGAATCACACGCTCGGTTCGAGTCCTGTTTAGCGACTCTGGAGCTCAAAGCGCGTCTAGAGATTAGGCCGCCGCCGCCGATCTTCTGGCCCACTGTGTTCTCGTCCACTCCATGAAGGGCCTGCCTCGGGGCCTGCCCCGCGACTTTGCCGCCGTCTAAATGTCTCTGTTCTCCAAATGATCTTGTTCAAATTTTGTCCGAGACGTAACAGTTTTCACAGATGATACCATGGTAAGGGAATAATGGCATTGTGTTTTCCGTGACGACGGTACATCAGGGGATGAGAGAGGCAGGCTCAGTGGAGGAGTGCCTAGGAATGGACAGAGACAGACGCGGCAGCGCACGGCGCCGATGACGGGCCAAATAATACCGCGACAACAAAATGCCTGAAATGCCAATAATTCACACCGCTAATTGGAAATGCCTCGGCAGCGTTTATTATTAATTAATTAAATTTGGAGCCGCGGCCCGCCTTTGGCCTCTCTCTCTCTCTCTCTCTCTCTCTCTCTCTCTCTCTCTCTCTCTCTCTCTCTCTCTCTCTCTCTCTCTCTCTCTCTCTCTCTCCACGAGGCGGCGCGGAGCGGCGCGCTTCAAGGAGTGTGGACGCGAGGCGCTGTCCCCTCCAGCGAAGCGAGGCAGTGTGCCATCGATGTGTCGCGCCCCTCCAGTCGAGCGGTTCAGACGAGCGGTTCTCTCTCTCGCACACCTCCGGAGCTCCCTGTGAGTGCGAGAGAGACAGAGCGATAAGGGCCCCTCTCAATCGCTCGGCCCCTGCGACAGAGCTGTAAAGCCACACCGTTCGGAATGATCCTGCTGCACTGTGGGAAAAAATCACAGTAAATCCTGTAGTGATTAGTACAGCTGTCACTGTAGTTCAGAGTACAGGATTTACTGTACCTTTTTTACAGGATCCACTGTACTTTGTACGGGATTTACTGTACCACAGAAGTGGAGTACGGAATATCCTGTACAAGGTACAGAAAATACTGTAGCCAGGCACAGTAAATCCTGTGTTCTGAACTACAGTAAATCCCGGCAAAAAAATTAACGGGATTCACTGTGGTTTTTTCGCACAGTGTGCGGCCTGTTCCGTCCGCACTCGACAAACTGAAGGGTGTACTCAGTTTGCTTGCAAGGATGCATCTGTAGACGTGTACTCAGCTAAGTATGCATCTGTAGATGTGTACTTGCAAGTATGCATCTGTGGACGCATACTGAGTACACACTTCAGTTTGTAGAGCACCCTACGTGTACCCGGGCCACTCGTCGTGTCGCCATGCGGGAGACTGATTCCGAGAGTCGTTGTCGCCTTGTCTCTCTGGCACCGACACGGACGCCTCATGAGTGCGGGAGAGACAGGGTGACGAAACCACTCTCGGAGTCAGTCTGCCTCGGCCCGCCAAAGAGGCGTCAAGGCTCCCCCGCGCCGCCTCGCCGCGCTGATTGAATTAGCTCTCCTCAAAATGCCATCAGCCGGACAGCCGGCCAGCCGAGCGGCCTTTGCGGGTGCGGGTCGTCTAGACACAGTGGATTTCCCGGGATTTCCTAACGACCGGTGGAGGCGGTGAACTCTGGACGCGTTTTGAGCGCTCCAGCGTCGCCAAATGGCACTCAAACAGAAAGTGGTGGACTCACTAATGGATCGCTCTCCGAACGAGGAACTCATATTGGTGGGGTGGGGTCAGACGTTCGGTTGCGTTTGGTTCGAGTCTTCGAGTCTCGCTAAGCGACTCTGGAGCTCAGGACGCGCCCAGAGTTTCGGGCGCCGGCAGCGGCGATCTCCCGGCCCAGTTTGCTGGGACGCTGGCGCTTCTGCTTTCCGAGGATCGCGAATTGGTTTGATGGCCACTGCTGTTCAACGTACGTGACGTCATATTCCTTGGAATATGTGAATTTTGTCACGATCGTTTGAATGATCTTAGTCTAAAGAACTGGGGGCCACATTTCGTGAAGACGGCGCGGTTCTGGTTAGACAGTCAGACAATGCCGGAGGTATGATGGGGTGATATGGTGTGGCATGGTGTCTATTATGGTGCCCACAAGGCAAAAACGGTTCCTGCTTTTCCCAAGGGGCGTACAGTCAGGACATCTTTGCAAAGCCGGTTTGGTTGCAACTGAAAGGGCAAGCCGTTTTGATTGCCACAAAGTGGGGCGCCAGGCCCGCTCAATGCTCCTTCGATTTCGAAACTTTGGCATTGCAGGTGGCCTAAGCGCCAGATATTGGAAAGCTGATGAAGATGTCAGGTGAATACTTGGCTGTGACAAGCAAACTAGCCACCGGCTCTGCAGTGTGAGCGGTTTTCAGGGCGCTCATGGGAAAACCATAAACCATTTTTGCCGTGCATGCGCGTGCACGTACCAGGAATGGTGGCGACGGTGAGGGGCCGTGCCGTGCCGTGCTGGCCCCAGCCTCTGCCGACCGCGCCACTGGTTCCGCCCCTGGCTTCGCGTTCGTCCGGTCGCGGCGAGGGTCGCGGGTCGCGGCGACGACTCTCGCAGCGCGGCGTTGCGGGTTGCAGGACGCCCGGGCGCGGACTGGCGGTCGGCAGAGGAGAGCGCTGGCGCTGCGGGGGCGTTGGGGCGGCGGGGGCGGCGGGGGCGTGGGGGGAGGGGTGCCGCGAGGGGCGGCGTCTGCCGTGGAGCCGCGCCCCGCCCCCGAGCCCCGGCACGGCCCCCTCGGCCAACCAGCGCGCTGCGATGCGCGCGGATGCGCCCCCGCCGCCCCCGCCCCCACGCACGCCCCGCCTGGAGCCGCCCCCATCGGCCAGACTCCGGCACCTCCTGTTGCGCTGCCTCCGGGGGGCTTGGTGGGGCTTGGGTCCGGAAGAAGTTCAGAACGAGCTGAGGAGTAGGGACATGCTCTGGTGGGGAATTGCCACCTGAAAGAGAGGCAAAAATATAATCATGCTCTGCGCCTGTAAGAAACTTTGAAGAAAGATGGAAAAACCATGGAAATTTTCCGAAATTTCTGAATAGAGCTCTTCGTAAAAGCAGGCTCTGGATGCACGCATCGCCATCAGAAAATCAGGGAAAAATGTTCGTTACCAGAGCGTTCTTGAGCGTTTGAAATACCACCTTGAAGTTAAATCAGGCAGCACTGTTAAAGTGATTTCGTAAAAGATTAACCAAACTAGCTGGAATTTAATTGAATTTCTCGGCGAAGTTGATTCGACCAAGAATAGACTCGAATTCCATATGCCTGCGTTTTGACACATCACTGGGTGGAGGCGGCCAAAACCCCGGACGCGTTTTGAGCTCTAGAGTCTGCTAAATGGAACTTGAACATGAGACCCCACCAACGAATCTTGTAAAGTGACTCTAGAGCTCAAAACGCGTCCAGAGTTTTGGCCGAATCCACCGTTCTTCTGGCCCACTGAGCAGCAGTTTTTCTAACAGGATAGATAGCACAATAGTGTGCAAAACACACTGGCAGAGGTGAACCGTTTATGAAAAGGCTTTCCTTTCTCGGAGCCGCGTCGCCCGGCCGCCTCGCGCCACGCGGCGCTTGTAATTAACGCTCTCGAAATTACGGGCGAAAGCGTAAGCAATAGCGACAACAAGGTGGCGGCGCGCAACCCCGCCCCGCCCCGCCCCGCCCCGCCCCGCCCCGCCCGCCCCGCCGCGCCCTCGCTCGCGTGTGCGTGCGGCCCGGAGTGACCCCGTTATTGTCGTGCGCGCCGCGTGTTTTCAAGAAACGAGCCCCAAACGAGGGAGGGGGTGGGGGGGCGTCATGGTGCTGCTCCTTTACATATTGTTATATTGAGTCGAAAATGACTCCACAATTAGGGCCGGACGCAACACTAGCAACGGGAAACGTGTGTGTGTGGGGGGGGGGGGGGGGTGTTTGTGTGTGTGAGAGAGACAAGACAGGTCGGCTGGGACAGAGCACGCAGCGAGTCGCAGCTTGAGCGGAGAGACAGACATAGGTCCTCCCTAGCATGTCCTCCCCGGAGCTTTCCGCCTGCCTCAGCCCCGTTGGCCGCCCAGACAACCTGTTGAGCCGCATCCAGAGCGCCACGCCACGCCCCGCCACGCCATGGCAGCGCCCGGCCGACCCGGCCGGTGTCGGAGCAGGGAATTCCCAGTCGGGCTTCCGCTGCGTGGCTCACAGCGGGCATCCATACATCCATTTGAATGTACACACTCTCTTGTTGAGTTGAAACGACTTGTCGACGGACAGCTCCAAGTCAAGATATCAAGCCCACAAGGGTGTGCCTTTCTTCCCCAGCTTATCCCTACTTTCCGTGGCAAAGTATGACCTTTTGCCAGCCTTTCAGGCAGCTCCGCCAAACCGAACTTACTATCTTTGTCTTTGTGCTGGCTGAAACTGGCGGGCCATCCCCACGGAGACCACCTGGCTGGCTGCCGCACGCCGTGCTGCTCCACCTCTACCCCCTTTTCCCTTCTCTCTCTCTCTCTCTCTCTCTCTCTCTCTCTCTCTCTCTCCTCACACACACACACACACACACACACACACACTCTTTGTCCTTCCCTGCGCGCCCTCCGCCGCACAGCGGGGGTGGGCGGCCGCGCGAGATACCATCTCCAGCAGCATGGGTGGAGCCTTGTTTACTCGGCGGAGTCCAGCGCGGGGTATTGCCACCACCCCACCTTCCCCTCCCCCTGCCCACCACCACAATTCTGAAATCCACGGGCCCGCCCTTTCGGCCTCAACGCCACGGGATCAACTGGATATAGCGGTTTCGCGATACGGATCAAAATGTAGAGTGGGTCCTGAATGCGCGGGGCGGCCGGGCGGGCCAGAGCCGCGGCCTGCACACTGCCCCAAACAGTGCCTTCGTCGCGAGGCGTCCCTCAAGGGTGCGAGAGAGACGGAGCACGACGGCCGAACGGCTCGCCGACGTCCAGTTTACTTTGGCGCGCCTGGCCGGCTGGCGGGGTGAATAAATTTCAGAGGCGACTAATAGATCGCATTCGGGGAAAAGTGGAAAAGAAACGGATTAAACACTGGCTGCGCGCTGACTTGGGCTTCATGCTCTTTGCGTGAAATGAACTAGCCGGAAACCTACTCGTTGACCTGCCGATATACATGCCCACTGAATCACTTCGATTCATTCAAGAGTGATGCAGCTTGCTAAGTCACCGAAATCCCGGACGGCGCAAGTTCTTGGTCAAGGACATTGTGAAGAAAGGAATTTAAACAAAAAAGAAACGTAGCCAGTTGTCTTTAGTTAGTTCTGAGCTTTATTTCGTATTTAGAATTGAAAAAAATTCATTTCACCACACAGAAAACTCAACTTTAAACTAGTGCTCGTGCCGTAACATTGAGTATGTAGTTCCGTGGTTAATGTGCCTTTTCATGCCTAAGGGAACAAAGTGGTGTAACAAACGAGTATTCGAGGATTTACAATAAATCGTCGTACGCACAAAAAACTTTCTCAGATTCTTCTAGATATTTCGTAAATTTACGGCATACGTAGGACAGGAGCCCCGTCCCGTTCGAGCCCCGATGGTATGAGCCCCGACCGGGGCCCGAACCAGCCCCGCCTCGAGACCCGATATCCAGAGCCCCGGCCTGAGCCCAGATGCCATTGGGCATCAAATGGGACGGGGCTCATGCCCTGGATGCCAAATACACAAAGCTCGTTGGCTTTTTCGTGAGCATACGAAGAGACCCTCTGCGGGCTCTAATAGGTATGTACGTATAAAAAGTGTGATCACACAAAATGTTGCTTTAAAAGTCAAAAAGTGTTGACTTACTTGAGCAGGTGTGAGCTTCACTGAGATCCAAACGCTATGAATATAGCATCAAATTGGTGCAATGCAAAAGCATTGCACATGAAGTGCAATGCCTCCGCATTCCCATGCATTAGCATAGGGCGGTTTCGGGATGCATTGCACGTAAGGTGCAATATGGCTGTGGCATTGCACGTATGGTGCGATATGTCAACTGCATTGCACCATACGTGCTATACTCATAGCGTTTGAAATCTCAGTGTATTAACAATTTTATACATAAAATGCTTTAAAATGTTTTAAAGATGTAAGTGCAAACAGCAAAACGTGGAAAGGAAAATAAGATCGATTGTCTTGTTGATTTACAATGGTGAATCGGTTCTGAGCTACGTGCTTATCTTAAGTTAAACATTTGCGCATCAAAACTTGTTTACACAGGAAATAGTTTGGTTCTCTTTAAGGGCTCACAAAATAATTAAGTTTTTGTCAATAGTAGCAGCCGAGCCCTACACTTACCTAGAAGCCATGATATCAAAATCATAGACATATTCGGAATCAGCGTAAAAAGTGCAACAACATGCAGAGGCTAACTTTTTGAATTTCAAACGAAGGGTACATGCGATCATCCCTAATGCACAAGAACCCCTGAAACATAACGCAATCCCCGCTAAATTTTGTTTCGGTTCTAGGGAGAGACGCTGCGAGGCCTAGCGCGGCGTCAGCCATTTGGAACTCCAAGAAAAGGGGGACTGGCCGCGCGACCGTGAGTTCAGGTGATTCAGCCTGCCATCGCCCACCGGCTCAGACAGTGAAGGGGAAGGGGTTTCGTCACGCCCTCTGCGTACTTACAGGTACGCAGTACCCTCATCAGGTGTTTGCTTAAGGACAAAAAGGATAAATCGCTTCCTCACTGACCCCCATCCTGGATACGCGCCTAGGCCCACTGTCAGATTGATCACTTTTTAATCGAAAGACTACGAGCGCGGGCTCAAGTCGAGGCTGGTTTGGGCTCTGGTGGGGACTCAAACCACGAGGGCTCAAATGGGACGGTCCCCTCCGATTCAATCGAAAACACAAGAGCTCAGCAACGAAGACAGCAGTGGCCATGATGAGGCCCGCCGCTAGCAGCAGCAAGGACACCCTGTGGTTAGTTAAATCCAGCTGCGCGAACTTGTGCTCTTTCTGTGCCTGGACTCGGTGAAGTATATGGTGCCGGAGGTCGTTCCTATTCTCGAATCGATTGATAACCATTGGACCCAGACCAGCAGCATCAAATTGGAGTATGATCTTCGCAAAGTCCTCAGAGCCCTTTTTTGCCAAGAACCTGCTCGTAACGTGATGTACCGATGGCACGTGGAAATGGTGAATGCTAGACAATGACTCAATGTGAGGGACGAGGAACGGAAGAGAATACTTGGTTAGCAACATGGCAGCGCTTTTGTTAGCCACGGCGTTCAATGTCTCAGAAAACAACCCGTCCATTCCGTTTATCTTGAACGAAGGTCCGTAAGCAATGCCGCTTGGTATTGCTCTGGCATGCATGTACACGGTAAGGTTGGTCTCCTCCAGTTCTTCCAAAGTTTGGATGTTACGTGAGGCGCATTTGGAGAAGAGCTCGGACAGAAGTTTACCGGTGTAAGCCGACGACAAGACGACGCAGACGAGCAGCCAGCTGCCGAACAACGGGCGGCGCGCGTCCCTGCCGACCAGCGACCCGGCCTGCGCCACGAGAGGGGCCAGGGCGTCCAGGAAGGCCGTGGAG